AAAGAGAGAGATTCAAGTAAACAGCTACCTCTCCGATATTTCTCGCTTATTCTCTGCAAGGAGCCTAACACTCTCTCCCACTAAATCCACAGCGACCATCTTCACAAATTGGACGAAGGAGATAGACTGGACCTGAATATTTCAGTCGATGGCACAAAAATTCCGACAGTAAATAATCCTAAAATTTTAGGCGTTGCTTTGGACAGTCGTTGCTCTTCACTCTCACACGACGCGATAACTGCCGCTTGCCGGCAGCTCTTGGGAAAGACAAAGAAACGTTGTTGGCAGCAAACAAGGCAATAGGCCGGCCGGTCCTAAATTACGCAGCCCAATATGGTCGCCTGATGTAGTGACACGTAGAAGAAGAAGCTACAGACCTGTCAGAACACTGCACTCCGAACTATCACGGATGCCTCTTGATGTCTCCAATCGAACACCTACATAGTGAGGCCCGTAAGCTTCCGGTTAAGGAACACAACGAACTCCTTCCAAGCAGTTTCTCTTGGGGTGTTTTCGTAGAACCACTCCTGTAGTCGCCTGACTGTAGCAGAGCCGCCTCCTAGGAACATCAAGAGGTCTTTCCGTGACTACGTCGACGACATTAGACAGTACGCCGACCGGACTTCGGACGCAACGAACTTCAGACAGGCACGACCGCCATTCACAGTGGAGCCATCAACACCTTCAGACTCCTCAGTGAATGGCGTAATAGATCAAACCACCACCTAGCAGACATAGAGCTCGAGTTGCCTCGCGAAACCAGAGTGACCTCGCGCAACTTCGTTCCGGATACTGTAGCAGGTTAAACTCCTACTTATCCAGAATTGACCCCGACATACTAAACACATGTCCTGCGTGCAATGAGTCTCCGCATGACACTAACCACCTCTTTGCAGCCCAACAAACCCACCCATCTAACACCCTTCTCCTATGGTCCGAACCCGTCGAAACAGCTCGTTTCCTGGGCCTCCCGTTAGATGACCTCGACGACAACGAATCTGGAACTTATCACCCAAACGGGGACTAGGTAACCATTACAACCACAACATGGCGCCATCCATTGCATGTGTTGCACCTAACAGAGGTGGAGTGTAGATGGAGCCTTTTAGCGAAGATGCAGCAGAAGAATTCATCAGGGCTCGGGTTGGACTCGATGCCAGCACGGGTCAGGAGGATACGGAGCAACCCTCCTGCTAAGCGTTGCTCTAAGGACGACAAACTTAAACTAAAACTCACCGATCCAAACAGGGTTAGATCGCCGAAATAACAGCCCTTGGCCGAATAAAATCCGGGTCAATTCCGGTAACGTAGAACCGGCTGTTCTGGGAATTGTATCTAGTGGTAGGGTCGGCTTAAGTATACCGTCCCATGCTTTCTGGGATAAAATAGGTATGAGTGGATAGAAGAGATCCTCCAGATCACGAATATATAGATATAGCCGTGGGAAACTTATAGTTTTCGAGATATTTACGCTTTAAGTTGAAAATTTCAACTATTTAAAGTACGCATTTTTTCGATTTCAAATGAATTATACACTTATATTTTTCACTTTTCTATCCACTAACACTTCACTAATTCGTTTGTACACATTTATTTTACATTATATAGTGCTTGGTCGAACCAAGACTGGGGTGTACCAAAGTTTTTTCGCGCAAAACTTCTTTTTGCGTTGGTTCCGGTATCTAAACTATAATCTCTCTTTTTATTTTAATTTTCTTCTTTTGTAAAATATATTAGTATGGCAACACTAGTTTTTTGACTTTTACACCCCTTTTGTTATTGTCAAAATTAATTAAATTGAAGAATGGTTTAAATATAGAAATAAAGCTATTTTGGCATCCATATTTTATTTATACATATTGCTTTAATTATCTGACAACATGGAACCCATTTGTTATTGTTCATATTACGAAAATTGTGTAAAAATAAAATGCTTATAGCAAATATTTTAATATTTAATATAAAATAAACATGTAGAAACATTGTAGTGAAGTGTTAGTGTATAATAAGTGCATAATATAAAAGAAACGTTAACCATAAATCGAGAAATGGTAAAATAAAATTTGTGAACTTAAAATGCAAATATCTCGAAAACTATAAGTTTCCGGCGGCAATAATTATATATATTCGTGATCTGGAGAATCTCCTCTATCCAACCATACCCCTCTTAACCCCGAAATCGTGGGATGCTAAACTAAAGTTTTCCCAAATAAATACATAGAAATATTGTAGTGAATTGTTAGTGTATAAAAAGTGCATAATATAAAAGAAAAGTTAACCATAAATCGAGAAATTGTAAAATAAAATTTGTGAAATTTTCAACTTAAAATGCAAATATCTCGAAAACTATAAGTTTCCGTGGAATGCTAAACTAAAGTTTTCCCCAGACCGGTTGCTAAAAGACGTCGGTAAAGTTGGTTACTAACATAAGGGTTAACCCTGAAATTGTGGGATGGCCAAAAATCTTTTAAAATTGCTACTGTTATAAAAACATGTAAAACTACGACTCTCTGACATTTTTACATTTGGTTTTTACGAAGGGAATTTCCATTTTACTACTTGTTCGTAGACTTTTTCTGCGCTGCCAAATTACCATTTTTGTAAAATTGTTTATTGAACTATGGTGTCAGATTTTCCTTGCTTTAAATGTTATGGGATTATACAACAGTAATAAAACACTTAATATGACTATGCTCTAAAATGGAGTATATAAAACTTATTTTTTAACAAAAGAAAATAAGATATAAGCATGTACGCAGACTTTTGCAGAGTGTATGTATGCAAAATCAGACTAAAACAGATATGAAAATGTATGTGTAAGAGCAAACAACTTAAGAAGAAAACTTTGTTTAAACATAATACACTTTAAAACTTACTAATTATATGATTTATCTGCCAAATGTTACAGATCCATATTTTATTTATACATATTGCTTTAATTTACGCTCACACACGTGTATAATACATAACACATCTATTGACTTTTAGTTTCTTTCCCACATTTCTCTGTGCGCACTTCACTTGTATCTATTGCATTTATGTCGTTTCTATCGAAATGCAATGGAACTGAACACTTTACAAAATGGCTACCCTTTCAACGACTGTATACAATATTCCGTTCGATTTCTTTAATTGACAACAACAATACATACCTAGGAAATATTCATTTTCTTTAACAAAAGTTTTCAAAAAGTATATATACTAAAAATGCACATAATATACTTTTAAGTTGTATTCAACCGATTATATATATATATATACGATTGCATTTTGAGAAAACACAATTCACGAATATGAAAACACAAAAGAAATATACACCCCACCGAAGACTTTCGCATATGTACTAACTCTGGTCATGCATACATGGATTATATGTATATATTATAAATATAGATTATTGCATCTATACATAAACCAAAGCCACAAACGCGTCCATATGTAGAGAGCAATATCACACACTTACGCATTTCCATCAAATTATAATTACCGATTTCAAATATGTTTGCTAAATTTCAGATTCGCATTTGTCAACGTTTTACTTCTGAATATTCAATGTATTACTTCATTAATGCTGAAAAATTTAACGATACTAAAGGCGTGTTCCCGCACAAAACTCAACACCACGCACTTTTTATTTTCCCATTTGCACTAAATTCGTGGTTTCCAAGTAGAGGAAGTTTAACCCATTTCCAATTGCCAAAATGTTCCATTCGATACATGGTTGTATTTCCACTCAATAAAAACTAATATCGAAATTCAGTACGTTACGACAGTCACAATTCTCTGATTTTGAATTAATTTTAAATTAAATACAATATTTGTATCTTGAGACAAATTTTCAACTCAGTATGTGACAGTCACAAAATTAGCTAGGATTTTGAATAGCATCTACCGAAATCGGTGGGAATGCACGGATAGCGGGGGTTCTCTACCACTTCAACTTGTTTCTACTCTTATGTTGTGTATTAAATGCTGCAATACTAAGTTTGATTTAATATTTAACTTTAATTCAAATCCATTTATTCATACAATAACAAAATATTTGCATGCAAACAAAAAATAAGTGCTACTATATTTTGCAAAAGCATAAAAATTAATTACATAGAAGAATTATACCGTCAATACAAAATTCATAATCGTATTATGAGTAACGCAAACTCTTTCAGAATTTCCTTTTTCTTCGTGAGTACGGGGTTTGGATCGACTAGGGTTATTTATTTTGGAGCGTTGCCGAAGGGCGCCAACGCAAAAAGACGTTCTACGCGAAAAACTAATTATGTGTTATATATTTCCTAAAATTGGGGTATTTTCTGTTTTCTTTACAAAATATGTTAATATATTTATTTATTGAAACGCCAATCGGCAATATACAGAGATATAATAAAGAATTAAAGTATTATACAAAAGTGGCTAGGGTATATTAGTGTAATATCTGGAAAATATTTAAATAATTGTAAGTTAATATGTAATTCAGACTTGATTTAGATGTAATTCAGACGAGCAGGTGTCTCTTGGTGTTTTCGGTAAAAGCAGCGTATGTTCCTCCATAGAAATTAATTTCACCTTGAAGTGAATTTACTAAATTAGCCAGTCTATTCTGAGGACCATGGATAACATAATTTTGCTTGGATTTCGATGTTTTTAGTAATCTATTTCGCCTCAGGGTAAGACCAGCAGGGGCGAGTTCAAAACTGTTTAGGATCTCATGAGCATCAGTGATGTTATTGACTACTTTGTAGAAAAAGCAGAGGTCACCGACCTGTCGACGAGAAGACAGTTTGTTTATACAGTAGCACTGGTAGACCTCATCAGTAGTGCATATGTGACTTGGTGACGATAGTTTATAGGCAAGTGACTTACAGAATTTACGCTGCACCTTTTCAACTTTATCGATTGTCGTGTTAGTGTAGGGAGACCAGATTACCGAGCCATATTCCAAAATTGGTAGTACAAGTGACTTGAATAGTCTAATGAGTGTCCAAGGGTTTTTGAAATCTTTACCACTCCTCAGTATAAATCCAAGGGCTTTGAACGCCTTTGATGTAATTTTGTCTGCGTGGTGTGAGAAGGTGAGCTTATTGTCAACAATGATACCTAAGTCTTTTATGTTCTCGACCTCCGCTATCTCAAGCCCATCAAGTTTGTAGCTCGTGCGGATCGGTGAGTGTGAGCGAGCGAAAGATACGGCCGCACATTTGTTTACGTTGAGATCCAGCTTGTTCACTCGACACCAGTCACTGAGGATATTTATGTCTTGTTGCAAAATTATGATGTCTGTCTCACAAGTAATCGGTCTAAATATTTTGAGGTCATCAGCATACAGAATGAAATCAGTAGCAATATTATTACCAATGTCGTTGACGAAGATGTTAAATAGTACAGGACCAAGGTGAGATCCTTGTGGCACACCAGAGATTACTTCATATTCACTGGATAAGTGGCCATCTACTCTGACTTCCAAGCGTCTGCCTGTGAGGTATGTACGTATCCAAGCTAATGCACCATATTTACTTAGCTTATCTAAAAGTATTTCGTAGTCAACACGGTCGAAAGCCTTGCTGAAGTCTGTGTAAATGCTGTGTGTGCAGTTGCCGGAATCCATGGAGTTCAGCAGTTTGTCGACGTATATGAACAAATTGGTAGTGGTGGATCTGCCAATAGTAAAGCCATGTTGTTTGGTTGTTATGATGTTTTAAAATGCCTGACTTATCTGTGGAAGCACTAACCTCTCAAATAGTTTTGCAAGTGCAGACTGTATGCAGATAGGACGGTAGTTGGTAACCAAGGTCTTGGGCCCCTCTTTATGAATCGGTGAGATGTATGACAGTTTCCAGTAGGTCGGGAAAGTACCATGGTGAAGAGATTCGCCAAATATATGTGTCAAAGGCTCACATAGGCCTACCGCACAGTTTTTGATGAATATGTTAGGTAAACCATCGGGGCCTGGACCTTTGCTGGGGTCGAGAGCAAGGAGTTCTTTGAGTACTGCATCGTAGGTCACTGTCAGGGCATCCAAGTGTGTGCGCTGTGTACCAGGATTGAAGGTTGCAATACCTGGGTCGTTGCTATTCGATGGCGCGTAGATGCTGTGGAAGAAAGACGCAAAGAGGTTACTGATACCTGGTCCCGTATCTTCTGAGCGGTCATTCCAGGCTACGGAAGATGGTATGTCACCGGTGCAACGGTTTTTGTCCTTGATAAAATTCCAGAATGCTTTGATCTCCGATTGCAGTTTGTCCTCTACCTTGTCGACATAACTTTTGTAGCAATCGATACTTAACTTTTTGCATTCCAATCTTAACCTGCTGAATCGTAAATAATTTGGCTTAGTTTTCCGAATTTTATATATCAGGTGTGCAGATTTCTTCTGTTTGACTTTGTGAATGAGATCATGTGAGAACCAACATGGATAGTTACTTGGCTTGTGTACGTGTACTGGAACAAACTGGTTTACACCTTTAAAGATTTTATCATAGAGAAAGTCCAACTTACTGTCAATAGTCTCGAGTTTGTAGAGGTCAATCCAGTTCGTTCTTAAGAGAAAGGTATTAAGGGCTGCGTAGTTAGCCTTTTTAAATACGTATGATGAGGAATTATCTGGTGTCAACCCCGGCAGAAAATTTAGCAAGATGTCGATAGCAGGATGGTACTTATTTTCCGGGACAAGAGCAACTGCGTGTTCCGGAGAAGAGTCAATGTCACTGAAACAAAGGTCAAGTGTTGAGTTCCAGGCATTTTGAATGTAATTTTGTTGAGTGCAGTTTAATGAGGCAAAGCCATCATAAAGTTGCTTTTCACATTCGACACGAATACGGTAGCTATGTGGCACTCGAAGATCTCAAGAGTTGATTGAGCAGGTATGTAGATGCAGCCAATGATGATATCGCGAGAAGCTCCCTTAACACGGATGAATATTTGCTCTAAATCGTTGTTTGTTATTGCAATTTGTTCTGTATGGAGACTACGTTTACAGGCGATGAAGACACCACCACCACGTACCTGCTCGTTGATGAGAGAAACACGGTCTTTACGGTAAATACTATGTGTTGAATCAATGATTTCACCATCACATATGGATGAGTGAAGCCAGGATTCCGAAATACATACAACGTCGTACTGGTTAGCCGCCAATGCTGTTTGAAATGTTGAGAGTTTTGTACGCAGACCTCTGACGTTCTGGTAGCACAGATGGACGTAAGATACTTTCTTCTTGCTCATTGAGCGGACGAAAATTTCTTTTAACGATTCTAGAGACACCATGGATATATTTAATTGTGTTACTGTCATCACCACTCTTCACGATTGAATCAAGCTCTTGACGCAAATTTTTCACATGAAGTTGTTGAGAGGGAGTTAGATCAGTGTTAATAAGGTATCACTGATTATTTGTTAGAATGCAACCCATTTGCTATTATGTGAATAAAAAGAATGAAACAAATGTTGAATATTGAATTAAAGTTATTTTAATTATTTTTATACTTAATCTGATTAAAATGAAACCCGTTTCCAGTTGTCACGCCATAACTTTAAAACGGCTAGACTGAGATTGAAAAAATACATTTAATTTTGCATATTTTAAAAAACGCGCGTAACGAATGTCATCGTCATTCACAGCCATGGACTATATTGAAAGAGCATCGTTTGTTTGGAAATGTGGTTACTTAATTAAATTCTATCACACTAATTTTTGGAAATTACTCGCAACAATTAAATGTACCGACTTTGACGGTAATATTAATAAAACATATAACTTAAAATATTGTTTATCAAAAAGAATTAGATAAACCTCAGAGCAGAGAAGGGTATAAAGCATAGATCCATGGTATAGAGGCACCATGTGGGCGTAACCGTGAGATATCCATATACCTATGTATGTATGTGCAAAACTAACATCCATTCAAATAAAGCTATTAGTTGATTCCTAGAGCGCGCGTGGTGTTGACAAGGATGAAATGATGCGAAACTCTTTGATTCGAGAGAGAGAGAGAGCTCTCAAAACCCACATTTTTTATAACATTTGACAATCATGGCACTGTCGAAAGAAAATGGATTGGGTATTATAAAAAAAAACTTTTGGGTATTTTGCATTTCGATATTATTTTTAGGTGCTCCGTTTCCGAGTAGGCCTATGTATCGCATATACATCCCTAAATACGTGTATCAATATTATAAAATTTTTTATACATCATAAAACATAAAAAACAGCATATAAATAAAAAATATTATAACAAAGAAACAATACAAGCCATAATAAAATATTATGGTTTTATGATGAACGTTTTAAATTAAATTAGCAAATAAAATTTAGTTGCACGTTATTCAAAAGTATTTGTGTCGTTCCTTGATATTTCGTTTCGCACTGCTTTTGTTAGCTATTTTTAGCGGGTTTATTTCTGGCATCACGTCTTTTTTGACATCAGCTGTTCGAAATTCCCTGATTTTAATAATCAGAGAAAGAGAATAACAGAAAAATCAGCGAAAATGAGAGAGTCTCGCATCATGTCATCCATGGTGTTGAGCTCAGTATTTACTTCAAAATGCCAAGTTGTTCGGTAGCAATTTGTAAAAATGTAAGTGGAATTATGAAATTATTAAATTTTCTATAACGCAGTCAAAACGCGTAATTGCATATAAAAATAGTAATTATATGTTGACTTTGAATCACAATAGTTACGAAATTTATTTCAAATTGATTTTCCTTCCATAATAATTAAAAACCGACAATCGATTAAGGTCTATGATGATCTCTATAAGTAAAATCTATAAATTCAAAATGGAAATCAAGAATTATTATTATATTATATTAAAACAGTCATTGACGCAAACCCGTGGATGGAATCAGCTGATACGACCTATCTTATGTGATCGCCGCGTATATGAACACTCACCACCGCTTTTACAGACCGTACGATATCTGCGAAAATTGGATTTTTCGCGTAGAAACGATTGAGCTGAGAGTGAAAGAGCAATCTCCTGACACGCAGGGTTGCCCATGCTGATATTTTGTAGTAATTTAAAAATGAAGTAGTAAATTAAAAAAATTGAATATATTGTAGATAGGATAATCTTAAATAACTCAAAATTTTCAATTTGGGTTGTTGATGTGCAAACTAAATCTGTATATAGTCCACTTAGAATCCAACCAAATATAGTGTTTTGGGCTAGAAGGGTGGTTGAAATTTTTTCAACACCTTCAAGTATTATTTGCGGTATAAGGTCGCTGCCTATTTGAGCGGGGGCGTTGCAGTTGGGATCTGCTAGCTTTAGCTATTTATGTGATAGCTTGGAAGCATGTTAATAAGTTGCGGTAGGACTATAGCTTCTGCTACAATTCGCTTATCCGCTTGTGGTGAAATTAGGGTAATGGAGCAGATTTTATTTTAGTTTTGGACTACTGTTCCGCCTATTCCCGTAATTAATAAATTCGATTTTTTTTATGGCAGTTTTAGCCTATTTTGTGCCCTAGACGCTATGAAGGATCGTTGTGATCCTTGGTCTATTAAGGCTCTAAGTTTGTAGAGTTCTCCTCTATGCTCGATGGAGATTACTGCTGTTGGTAGTAATACCCTATTTTGTATCTCGCTGTGTAGCGTTTGAGTGTTTTGTGCCTTTGAGCAACATGGTGTCATTTGGCAATTTTTGGTATTGTGGTTTTCGGGATTTGCAGTTGAAACTAAACCCGTGGTTCTTTTTGTACTAATATATGGTCTCTTTTGGGGTGAGCTGGGAAATGTGCTGTAGTGAAGCATTGTGTGATGTCTTTTTCGACAGTAGATGCAATTGAATTTGCTTTTGCAATTTTTATGAGTATGCATATGTGACTAGCAATTTGTACATAATCTTTTTGATCTTACAAAATTGTTTCTTTCGTGAATTTTTAATTTTTTAAATATCTCGCAAGATTGTAGTTTACGCCCTCTTGTGCATAGTTCGCATGACGTATGTTTATTCTGTTCGGATGTGAACGATTGCGTTTTGTAAAAGCTTCTGTTTAATTTGTTTTGGCTACTAGCTTGGGGTCTATTGAAGCTTCTTTTTAGGTCGTGTTGAACAATTTTTGTTTTAATTAGTTTTTTATCTACCCTGCGATTTCGTACTAGGTAGTTAGAAAGTCATTCATTCGTGAGGCACTTCTTTCGTGATGAGAGCGATTGCTCCCATAAAAGTAACGATTTTTCTGGTAATGCGGCAGTGCATATGTTTACCAGTATAGGTTCCCAGCTGTCTGTGGGAATATTTTGTGTGTATTGCTTTAATTAATTTAATTATTAAAAATCTTATGTTGATGTATTTAGGTACACACTAATACACGGACTTGTTAGTATATATTTATGTGCTCCTGAAATTGAGAGCTCGTTAAAGAGATCAATACACTTTGTACATAAGTATGCACCGATTGCTTGTGCGTATGTATGTTTATTTTCTAATGCAATTGAGAGCTCGTTGAAGAGATCAATGTGCTTTTATTTTTTAACACGCTTATTTGAGTACGCAATCGTGCTGGTTTTTTACAAGGGGTATTGCGGGATATATGCCAATGTGGACTTTGAAAAAATGTACAACTACAATTGTATATGTTTTAATATGTATGTACGTATGTTTAACCGCGTTTTTTATATTTCGTTTTTAATATATTATTTATTATTATTTTTATTTCTAGTAGTGTTAATATTACTACAACGTTTATTATTTTATTTTTTTGTAATTTTACATCTTTTTATATAAATTTGTAAATTTGTTAAAGTGTAATGGACCCAATGTAAGTGGGGTATATAAGCATAGGCATATATTCTATGCCGTATGTATAAATATGTATGTTCGCACTGCGAAGAGAACGCGAAAGCGAAGTGAATAATGTGCAGGTATTTACCGCCCGAAACAAAGTTTGTGTTTTCATAGACAAAAGAGGTTTTCACGAGAAAACTTGTGTTTTCATCCATACAAAATCTGTCAAACGATAACACAGTTTTCGCTGAAAACCTCTTGAAAACTTACATTCCACTCATTATAATCGCTGCCTGCTCTAGTTTAATCGATATTATTAGAAGACATATTTTGCCAGCCCTTAATGTCAGTTGACAATTTGTTTACATTCCACAATTGGCCTAAACGTACCCTACAAGAAACTGCTGGTGCCGTTTTACATTGGGACTCAAAAGAGTCTCAAACCAGTTTATTGTGGGCGAGGGGACGACGAGGAAAGACGAAGGGACCGTGCCACTTGTGTTCGGGTGGCACGCTTTGTGTTCTTGTTCGTAACAGCTCGCTGCTACCTCTTTCAGCATTCCTTTTCACTTTCAAATTCTTTGAATGGTTGCAAGAGCGCTCGGTTTCAAATGAATTCGATCGCAAATTTGAGTTCTGTTATCTATTTTTGTATGTAATATGCAAATATGTATGCATAGAATAATAGAAATATTATGACAAATTGTAAATAAGGAGAAAAATAAGATATAGATTATAGAGTAAAGAAATTATGAATTTTTAATACTTAAAGATTAGGAAATTTCTGTTATAAATTTGGCCTTGAAAATATTAGTAGCGGATATTCAATACATTCTTGTGGATTAGGGAATTCCCGTCTTTAGTATTTCTTTGAAACTATTTAGCGGGTAGGTACTTGTATTATGCATATTGTTCTACCATATTCATGGTAATTCATTGCAAGCAAAATGTGTGACCATCATCTCAACATACAAATGAAATACGCAGCACGCAGTGTTGCGCAGTCGAACTCGAGTTGCTGGACTCTTTTTGACCGTGTGAATGCACAGAACGACACCAAAAGAAAATTTGAAAAAAATGAGACTCTTTTGAGTCCCAATATAAAAGTGCACCTGATGGGTTCACCAATCCACTCACATTTGATATGTCAGTACTGTTAATTTACATTGGCATTTTTAAATTCAGAACTATCCACTGATTGGAGAAAGACGTACGCAGAGCTATTGAGAGGAGGAGATGGCATCAAGTGAAAATTTATTTTTATATTTTTATATTTTCATATATTATTATATTTTTTGTTGCATTCCTTTTTATATTTAAGTATATTATTATAACTAATTCTGAATAAAAGTTTGAAATTTATTAAAGAAATAAAAATTATATTATCTACTGCGCAGAAGAATTTTTCACTTCTGATAGCGTTTCAGTCATAACTGACAATTTTCAGCTATGACGGACTTATGGTCAGCAATGACTCAGAAAAAGACATTAGAGTGGGCAGTATAGATATATAGTGAATCAATTCCGAATACCCATGTGTTAAAGAGAGATGCAAACTCACGCACATACGTTTGCTTACATCAGTTTTTGCACAAGGCTCTTAAGAAAATGATAGAAACTTTGTTCTGCGCGCTGACAAAATTTTTTCAGCTATGACTGCCATATTACCCATCAGATGACCGTCACTGCTCTTGTAGGGTGCATAACAAATGTATAGAAATAGATGTGTGAACTGTCAATGAAAACTCATCGAAAACACACAATGTCGGTCAGAACGACTTTGGTTCCACAATCCACAAATTGTGTTTTCAAGAGGATTTCAATTCGGTGCGAACATAGTATTATGCACTTTGTTAATATATTTTTGTCTATATATATTTGTTTAGTAAAAAAATATATATAACGACATATATAGATATAATATGTAAGCGTTAATTCGTTATGCATATATGTATGTTTGTCTGTTGTATTTTTATTTCTTTCTCTGTTTGTTTTATGTTTGATATTTTGCCTTTGCTTACTTATTGAATGCAATCCTGCTTATTGTTATATTAAGCATAAGGGGTATTGCTGGAGAAATTTGCAAGTATATACTTTAATTTGTTTTTGTTTTTTGTTTCTTGATGGTGTATTTGAAAACGCGAAGTTAGCATTGAGTTATTAGGTTGTTAATAATACATCTATATGTTATTTTACCGAACTTTTGTAGTTTGGTGAACGTATTTGTTATTACAGGTTCTATATATATAAAACTGTAATTTAAGGTTCTTACAGAAAAAAATATTAAGAAAATGTCTCAGAAAGATTGAAAAAATACATTTAATTTTGCATATATTAAAAAACGCGCGTAACGAATGTCATCGTCATTCACAGCCATGGACTATATTGAAAGAGTATCGTTTGTTCGGGAATGTGGTAACATAATTAAATTCTATCGCACTAATTTACTAATTTTTGAAAATGACTCGCCACAATTAAATGTACCGACTTTGACGGTAGTATTAATAATACCAGTGATGATTTCATTTTAATGTAAGTATTTAATAATAATAAAATATGTATACTATGAGTTAGATTTCAGAACGCAGTATACAAACTTCGCATAATCTATTTAGTAATCTGTGGTAATCTGACACACATAACCTAACATAGCGCTAACAATAATTTTATTAAGTTTTTGATAAAGTTTGTTTTGTTTTAAAGACCAAAAGTTTGTTGTCTGCTAATAAGTGGTTGTTAATCACGTAAGTTCACAGCTTAATATCGATTTTTAGTAACTTTTGATGACTACACATTATTGAAATTTCGTATAAATGGTTAAACAGAAAATATAAGGGAGTAATTTTTTTATTTTCAGTTGGATTTTCGTTTTTATAAATGCCACCAAGCACACGTACAAACTTAGACCGCAGAACTCGAAATACCGCAAGTCAAAGATATATAAGAGCAAATCAAACAATTTTACTGTATTGAATAGTATGTAATTAATGTATACCTTAGCCACAGCAACGCGTGGACGGGGTCCTCTAGTGCATTATAAAATAAAAGAATAGGATTTAGTTGACACGCACCTTTTTTGTATATCTACATGTATATAAATTTTTGTGTCACTGAACTCTTCCTAAGTAGTTTTGTATATGTTAATGTATATTATTTTGTTTGCCACTGCACTTCACTTCACTGTACCTTTGGTAGGTTTGTGTTTAAACTTTTGTGGTTTATCTCGTCTTTTTTATTTTTGTTTTTTGTCACCACTGTTTACATCTTTT